GGGGCGGCTTCCCGGCATCCTCCGCATCGGCAGCCTCCGCTCGCGCTCATTAAGGCGTCTGCCAAGTGTCTGATGTGTGAAATATCCTTTTTATTAGCGGCAATTGATGGGGCCGCCTGGGAGCCGGGGCTGCTCCGCTGCTGGCCGGGGCTCTCCCGGCTCATCCTGCTCATCCCGCTCGCTTGGGGCTGCTCCTCGTCCCCATGGGCTGATCCCTTTGGAGCATCATGTCCCACGGCGGCAGCACCGGCTCCACGGGAGCTCCGTAGGGAAGACCCGCAGGCACTCTCAGGAAGGCAACCGAATCATTTAGGGTAGTATTTGGTAATAATTAACCAAATTATTATTTAGGGGAGCAGGATGGAGGCAGCTCATTACGGGGCCAGGCTGGTTGTCCCTGGGTCACGGTGTCCTTGTGGGAATGGAGCCGGGTTGGCACCAGATCCCGGCACCTCCGACCCGGCCGTGCACCGGGCAGAGCGCGCGATGCTGCCCGGGGCGCACGGGGCTCATTGGGGCACTCGGTGCCGGTGACACCGAGCAACAAACCAGCCTTGCAGGGACCTTGTGCCCGTCCGTGACAGGGATTTTTCCCCTCTGGCCTCCACGCCGGGCACCCGGTTCTATTTGTTTGCATTTGTGCAAGGGAAGGACGAGCAGGAGCCTCCTCCTGCCCCGCGACCCAGACAGCGCAGGCGCCGCGCTGCATAATACTCCAGAATTTAATAACAATAATAATAATAACAAAAAAAAAGCGCCTCGAACAGACAAAGTTTTTCCTTTGCCAGCTGCTTAATTAAATTGCCTAATGCTGTTTGCGACGGCAGCACAAACTCCTGTGTTTAAAGAGCAGCGCGTTGCCATGGCGCTCGCGCGGCGCCCGGCGCGCGCTGGCAGGGAATACAGATGAGGGGGGCACGTTGCCACGTTACGGCCGACAGTCTTGGGCGGGCTTTTTTTTGCTTTATTTATTAATTTTTTTCTGAATATTTATTTATTTGCACCAAGGCTTAAAACCCCCTGTCGAGACCCTCGCTCCGAGCAGCTTTCCCGGGCTGCTCGCTCTCCGAACATCCCTATTCGGAGACGAGGGATGCTGGGGCCTTTGGGTGTTTTTGGCCTCGAGGGAGGCTAGGAGGCCTTGCAGGTGACCCACGGGCTGGAAAATGCCCTTTTGGTGGCAGGGTGACCCTCGAAGGGAATATTTGTGCTTCCCGGTGCCCAAGGAGCAGCCTCTCCGCCGCCTTCCTGCCCCGATTAGCCCCGGAG